AAAAATGACCACCTATAAAGTATCCCCCCAGATGTTCCGACTCTGCCCAAAATCTAATCAGCTCATTGGACGCTAAAACAAAGCTTAAGTTTAAAATTTGGTGTTTTTCGTTGTATCGGTTCATGAGTTATACAGACACACACGCACACCCACACGCGCACGCGCACGCGCACACGCACACGCACACGCACACGCACACACATAACAAACATAACAAATTAATTTATTTTCCACGCTAACACTTTACTTAAAACTCAATTAAATTTATTTCACAAACTACACAAATAAATGATAAAACGTATACTGAACGTATAATAGTTCAACACATAATACAGTGTAAACGACAGATGGTGCGCAGTAAAAGAACGCAATAGAGCAAACTCACCATCTCACTCAAACCCTCCTGAATATATATTGCCTCGCCCTCGCACCGACGGCGGACTCTCAAGGCCTCTGGCAAGATGTAAAAAACCATGAAAACTGTCCGGCTACTGGGGTAACTTCTTTTCATAGCCTCCCAAGAAACATATAAAATTCAGCTTTTATACTACAATGTAAGTGTAGTCAAAATTTTTCAGAGTTTGGGGGTATCCGGCAGGGGGTTGAAACTATACTTAATGTCCGGCAATGGATGACGTCATTTTAAATATTATTCTGAAGAAAATGTAAAAAAACCGAGCTTTATATCCTAATGTACTTAAGGTGCTGTTTTTTTACACCTTTGTTACCTGTTACCTGTCAAAGTAACCACTACCTAAACTACATAGTCGCTCATCGTTCTTACCTGTGTTGGTGACGTGCGCAGAAAAACTTAAGAGTTTTATGAAATGATGTGCGCCTAGCCGAAGCGGGCTCTTGGACTATTAGCCATTTCAGCTAAATATGAGTCTAATCACTGATTCTGACATTTATGACAGAAATAGAAAAATAAACAATGAGGTTAAAGCACAATTATCAACAATCAATGCTAGTCAATACGATTGAAGAGCAAAAACTTCAGTTTACATCAATGGAAGTATAGACGAAGTCAAGAGTAGTGCTACTGTGGTTAGAAATAAAACTAGAAAATTTGAAAATTAGAACTGTAGCGTCCTAATGTTTATAATAAGTTATTATTAGATGTAAAAATAATAAATTTTAGTTTAAAGAAGATTTGATGTGAAATATAATTGATATTCATCTTTCTAGTTCTATAACTCAAAAACTGTTGGTCGGAGGGGATTCACTCAAAAAACTTATTGCAGCGGATTTTATGCCCTACAAAAGATATACACGGGTTTTCCCTAAAAAATTTTTTAATATCGAAAAATTAAATTGAAAGCAAAAAAACCTATGTTATTTAAATGGGAAATCGAATTTTTAAATGAGCTAAGTCGCTATTGCATTTAGAACCTTTTACCAGGTAGCACAGAGAAAAAAATATATTGCCTGAAAATGAAGCACCCTAATAAATACATTTACCACATACATCTAACTCGAAACATTTTCTATATATATTGAAAATGAAAATACTAAAAAATTTATATTTAACACTTTTCCTCCAATTTTTCCATTACGGTCCATTTTAGAAAAATCATGTAAAACACAAAAATTATAGAGATAGATAAACATCTTTTAGTTCAACAGTTTTCTTAAAAATCAGAATTTTGCACATTTTGTCAAATTTCTCGAATACGGGCCATTTCAGGAAAATTTAGTATAAAGCAAGAAGTACCTATAAAGAATAATATTAGAACTAACTTTTATTTAAAGAATTTTCTTCTCCAAACATAAATAACAGATATATTCCATAAAATATAAAAACGAACTCCCATAAAGTACCCCCCAGATGTTTCGACTTTGTCCAAAATCTAATAATTTCACCTCAGGCCGAAATAAAACTTTAAAAGTTTAAAATTTAATGTTTTTTCTTTATCCGTTTTTGAGTTTTCTTCAAAATTTAAAATTTACACATTTTCTTAAATATCTCGAATACGGTTCATTTTAGAAAAATTATGCATAAAATAAAAATTATAGAGAATTATATTACAAATAACTTTTATTTAAACAATTTTTATAAAAAATTATTTTTTTTACATTTTGTCAAATTTTTCGAATACATTTTAAGAAAATTTTGTATTAAATAAAAATTATAGAGAATCATATTGGAAGCAACTTTTATTTGAAGAATTTTCTGTTCCAAACGTAAATAATAGATATATTCCATAAAATATAAAAATGTCTACTTATAAAGTACCCCCCAGATGTTCCGACTCTGCCCAAAATTTAATCAGTTCACTGAAGGTCGGATTAAAGCTTAGGTTTAAAATTTGATGTTTTTCTTTGTATCCGTTCATGAGTTATCGAGGATACAGACACATACAGATACACACACACACACACACACACACACACACTCACGCACGCACGCACGCACGCACGCACGCACGCACGCACCCACACACACACACACACACACACACACACACACACACACACACACACACACACACACACACACACACACACACACACACACACACACACACACACACACACACACACACACACACACACACACACACACACACACACACACACACACACACACACACACACACACACACACACACACACACACACACACACACACACACACACACACACACACACACACACACACACACACACACACACACACACACACACACACACACACACACACACACACACACACACACACACACACACACACACACACACACACACACACACACACACACACACACACACACACACACACACACACACACACACACACACACACACACACACACACACACACACACACACACACACACACACACACACACACACACACACACACACACACACACACACACACACACACACACACACACACACACACACACACACACACACACACACACACACACACACACACACACACACACACACACACACACACACACACACACACACACACACACACACACACACACACACACACACACACACACACACACACACACACACACACACACACACACACACACACACACACACACACACACACACACACACACACACACACACACACACACACACACACACACACACACACACACACACACACACACACACACACACACACACACACACACACACACACACACACACACACACACACACACACACACACACACACACACACACACACACACACACACACACACACACACACACACACACACACACACACACAGACATCATCGCGAAAATAGTCAAAACGGATTCAGGGGACCCCAAAACGTAAAAACCGTCTAAACGTGAGGTCGAAAAAATCATGATTCCTATACTTTCCTTATCTGTATTCAGATAGGAAATTCGTGGTCTGACCAGGGTGAATGGTGCTTATCTGCTATTTGTATAGATGAGCATGTTTCTTCCAGTGATATTGTTTCTGGTAATTTCTTTTGCTGCTATGACAATTCCCAGCGAGCTCGGTTTGAACTACACTGGCATTATTACTCATAGCCCATTTTATGTTAAGATTTAAGAATCTATCACATTCTGAGCCTTGTTGTGTAGATATGAATCATACCGGCTACTTCCAGCTCTTCTATTTGTTCGGTTATAACTTTATATGGCTTATGGAAACATAATATCGGTAAGACGGAGTCCATATTCTCTTGAAACCGTGAAAGCGTATCGAGAGGCTCCCAAAAATATCAACAGGACAAGCAACCAAAAGTAGTAAATTTGTTTTTACTTTCCTGTTTATATACATATAAGGAAATTATAGGAATCATGATTTTTTTGATCTCAAGTTTTTGACGGAGTTTTGTGGTCCTCTGAATCCATTTCGCGTTGATGTCTATGTGTGTGTCTGTATACTCGATAACTCATGAACGGATTAAAAGATAGACATCAAATTTTATACTTAAGCTTAAATCCATGCTGAGGTGGGTGGATTAGATGTTGAGCATATTCAGAACATCTAAGGGTGGTTCTTTATAGGGTATCGTTTTTGTACTTTACCAAATATATATGTTATTTACGCTTGAAGTAAAAAATTCTTCCAATAAAAGTTGCTTGTAATATTATTCTCTATAATTTTTGTTGTTTACATACTTTTTTTAAATGGCCCTTATTAGAGAAATTAGACACAAAGTTCAAAATCAGAATTTTTAAGAAAATTGTTCAAGTAAAAGTTGCTCGTTATGTCATTTTATATAATTCTTGTTTCATACATGATTTCCCTAAAATGGACCTTATTCGAGATATTTGAGGAAAACTGCAAATTTGGAAATTTGAAGATAATTCAAAAACGGATAAAGAGAGAAACCAAATTTTAAACATAAGCTTAAATCTTTGCTGTGGTGAGCTGATTAAATTTTGGGCATAGTGAAAGCATCTTTATGAGGTGCCGTGTTTTTTACTTTAAGGAATATCTCTGTTATTTACAAATAAATAAAAGTTGGTGGCAATATTATTTTCTATAATTTTTATTTTATACATGATTTCTCTAAAATGGACCGTAATGGAAAAATTTGAGGAAATTTCTAATATTGTAATTTTTCAGTATTTTTTTTTTTTGGCAAAGAATACCTATATATAAAAAATGTTACGAGTAAGATGTGTGGAAAACGTATGTATTTAGTTTATCCTCTAAACATTTGCAGATGTGATACAATAGGTTGTAAAAAATAACCGGAAAAGGCCTGTAATAACTAGACAGGAAAATTATGTGTTGATAAATTATAATGTTTCAAAAATTAGAAATTTAACTTTAACCTTAAAAACTCACCATAGGTTTTGAATTGACCAATTGTATTTAGATATATTCGACGAAAATCTAATTTGAAAAAGAAAAGCGCGGTGAAGTTTAACGCTTGTATGTTCTATCAGTATTATTTACAATTTAAATTTACAATTTAGTGTTAGTATTTAATACCAATTTTAAATAATTTATTTTTGAGTATAATCTCATGTGTTACCTAGAATTTTATTTTTTCTACCGCCTTCTCCATTTTCCTCAGGTGCTGGTTTTTTATTAACTTTGGTTGGTTTCAACTGTACTTCGGCTAAAAAAATGTGTGGTTTTATGTGTTAAAATGTTTTGTACCTATTGATTAATATCGTGTATGTAGTATATAAATGTCTTGATTATGAACTGATTTGATTTAAAACAATATTTTAAACTGAACTATTGGTTATGGGACTAAAATTACTCAAGAAATTTGTTAATTTGTCAGGTTGGGGTGAAAGTATTTAAGTATTACATGCGTTTTATTTCTAGAAATAATTTACTACCATTTCACTGTTATAGTTAATACCTAATTTATAAATGAATAATAATAATATTATTAAAATTATACATCAATCATTATGATAAAAGTATTGAATAAAAAAATGTTTCTTATAGTAAGTTAAAATTTAAATGAGTATCTCTTTCATCAAAAACGACAAAATATGAAATGTTTGAAGTTGTAAACTACTTTCATAAATAGATCAGATATTATTAATTTTCTTGAAATAAAGGTGTTTCGTGTAACAGATACACTGCAATTTGGCAATACTAGCAAACGCGTGGTTTTTCATCAACCTACTGAATTTTTTTTTAAATTACACTATTTGTATTTTAGACAGAAGTTTCCATTTAAATACAAGGCATGGTCAAAAATGTTTATTTGTGAATACAAAAATATGACTGATCTTTTAATTCGTTTTTAATTTTTAAACCTGTTATACAATGTGTTCCATAAAGAATTGCCAATATTTTAATAAACAATGTCTACTACCTACTGAGATACAAGGTGTTAAAGTTATATAAAATTATTAAATATTTTAGGGTTTAAAACATAATTATCCATTTTTTAATATAGTCTCTGTGAATAAAAAAAATAAATTACTGTATTACCGAAATGATTTTTTGCAGATGGTTGAAATTTCAAATGCAAATTTCTCGAAATGGATTGAATGTATAGGTACTATTCAACCAAGTTTTTCTTTAAATTTACGAAGTGCATCATAATAGCTTGAAATAAATTCAAAAAGCCGAAAATAAAAAAGAAATAAATTATGATTTATCAATCTAAAAACATGACTTCACCAAGTTTCAAGTCAATATTTTAAAAAATAACCAAAATATTTTTCCCCACTGGTATTTAATATTTTAGGCTCTTGAACCTATAAATAAAATATTGACCATTCCTTATGAAATATCCTGTATAAATAAAAATGAGGCTTGGGAATTTATAGTATATTTTTAAATCTATAACATACTAATTAATATACAGGGTGTAACAAAAAAGGTAGATATCTGTATCTGTAAAGGATGGAGAATGGGTTGCCTTACTAGACTCATTGTTAATTTTCCTCAATTAATAGGCTCCTCTTAACTTATTAGTCATCTTTGATGTAGTTGACAACGTCACCGAGAGGTACCTCTTTTATATTGGTCGATACTCGCCAAACACAAATCTTCTGATAGGTGTGAGCGTTGGAAAATCGTAGAAGATATGCATCGAGCATACCCTCTATCTACGATTTCCCGAAAAAAAGATGAGATTATCGAAGTCTCATCTTTTTTTTTTTCGCACCACCTGCTTCCGTACTTAGAATGCCTGGGATCCGGCGCAGATTCTGTCTAGTAATAATCAAGTATTTGTTGGTTAAGTATTTGTTTGTAGTAATGTCTGGGTAATTTTAAAGCTTCCTGGCAACTCTGCAACTTCTTTCATTCCACCTGTCCTTAAGTATAAAAATGGAATATTTTTAATTAGATTTGTATGGACTGATGTTGTTAGTGCAATGGAAGGACTAGGTCCAAAAAGTGTGGCCAAAGTGTGATGATATTCTAGTATTAACCCTTAGTAAATTCGTCATTCATCGAGTGCATATCTGCTATTTGTATAGATGAACATGTTCTTTCCAGTGATATTGTTTTAGTAATATATTTTGCTGTCATGAAAATCCTCATGAGCTCAGTTTGAATTACACTGGTACTATTGCTCACAACCCATTTTATGCGTAGGTTTAAGGATCTGGAGTATATTTTACAGCCTTGTTTTATTTCAGAACTCCCGGTGTAGATATGAATCGTATTTGCCACTTCCTGCTCTTTTATGTTAGTTATACCTTTGCATGGCTTATGAAAGATAAATTTCGGTGAAATAGAATGCATGTTTGCTTGAAACAAAAGAAGCGTGTCCAGCGCCCCTAACCAAAAGCGCCTCCCTGATGTAAATATCAAGGGAGAATGACTGCTCTGGTTAGTATGGTTTTCATGGCTCCTGTTGTGTTGAGACAAGTTGTTCTTTGTATTTGTTCTAGTTTGCGGATAAATATCAATTGTTGAATTTTCGACACCCAGTTAACTGTACAGTATATTTGCATAGGAAGAGACCCCTGATACGCTCCATGGTCCGGCGGCATTTTTTATAAGTAGTGTAATGCTTTTTTGACTCTGTTTTTAGGTGTTTTCTAGTTATGAGTTCCATGTTAACGTGCTATCAAAGGTCAGATCTAGGTACTTCACCTCTGTTGCAAAGTTTAGTTCTGTGTTTAGGAGTTCCGGATGTTTTAGTTCCATTCACTTCCTTTTTCTTCTAAAAAGGTCCATTTTTGTCGTCTGGGGATTGATAAACAGTAAATGGTCCTTACACGACTATTTTATGATTTTGAAAGCTACCTATTTGCATTTTTTCCGAAGTATATTTTCAAGTTATCTGCATATTATGGCTATTGTGTAGAGATGATAAATTAGACTAAATTTCTGAAATCCAAAATAGTCGATTCGACCTAACTTACCCATACCCTATTTAAACATTAAGGGAGAGTAAATTCTCAGATATATTTTGCGACAATTATCTTCAAAACCAGTGAAGTGTGTTCCGCCACGATATTAAAACCCAGTATTTGTAAAGGTCTGAGTTCCTTAGATACCAAGGCGCGTTTACTATTGCCCTTAATATTTTGTTCTGGATAAGTTTTATTATATTTATGGTATTGTTACTGACATACCCTCAGAGCTGTATGTTGTAATTCCATACTGGCTTCAGTTCTTGTTTATAAATTAAAAATTTATTTTTGATTGAACATTTTGATTTTCTATTCATCAACCAGTATAAATTTCTATATTTAATACCAAACTCTTACGGTTTATTCTTATATGTTCTCTCCGCTTTCATTTTATGTCTAGGTTCATGGCTAAGTATTTCGCCAATTTAAAATATGGTATTTTAGTATTATTTAATATCGCTGGTAGGTATTCTACTGATCTTTTATTAGTAAAATTATCCTGAACTGTTTTAGTTCCGTTGATCTTAATGCACCATATTTTGTCCTCTCGTAGATTTTATTTAGTTGCATGTTTTCTGGTTTCGGAGGTAAACAACAGATAAAGAACTGGCCACAGAACACTGCCTTGAGGTACACCTGCTTTAATTTCTTTGAGCGTGGAATATTCTTCTTTTTGTTTTACTCGGAAGATTCTCTCAGTCAAATAAGATTTTAAGATATCACAATATTGCTTAGGAAAAAGTTTATTTATTTATTTATTTATTTATATTCAAGTCTCTCTAACCATACTTTATCGAAAGTCTGAGCTACATCTAGAAAGAGCAAGATGCAGATCTTCTTCTCTTCCAGTGTGTTCTCTATTTCATTCGTTATTCTGTGGACTTGACCAATAGTGGAATGCTTGTTCCTAAATCCAAATTCGTGGTCAGGTATTATATTTTTCTCCAGATCTTACTCGGGTGCTTTCTTAGAATTGATATTTTCTTTGATTTCCTTACCTGACTTTTTAGACGTTACCATGCGAATTTCTACTGTTTCTGTTCTCTTCTTTTAATAAACCAAGACCTTGTTATTCATTCGGTTAAAAAATTTTTTCGAGATGATCTGCGAAGATGTCATCTTTTTATTTATTTGATCTTGCCCAGTTTTCGTTGTTTTCTTTTATTGGTGGTATGTGGACTATTGGACGTTTAAGTTTCATAGTCGCTTTTCGCAGAGAGTAATCAGTATTTTTCGGTTGTTAATTTTCTGAGATATGTGTCTATTGATTCATTTTTAATAGTGTATATTTCTCTTTTTAGTTGTTGTGTTAGTCTATTGAGAACTACTTTATCTTAGGGAATCTGGTAATTTGCCATTTTTTTCTTGCTTTTCTCTTATTATTTATAAGTTCTTTCATTTCTCTAGGGTATCAAATGTTTTTTGTAATTTCTGGTGTATTGTTCCATGACGCTTGCTGTGTGTCAATGACAAATTTTTCCAGCTATTATTCTAGTTGTTCTTTTGTTCTTAGTAGTGCACTTAGTTTAATTCGTATACTTAATTCAGCTTTAATACTTACCCAGTCTTTTTTTACCTAGTGTAGGTCTAATTTCTTTTTAGAATATATTCTCGCTTAGTATCATTATCACCGGGTAATGATCTTAGTCTAAATCAAAGTTTTCTTCTATTTAAATAAAGTATTTTTCTAGTAATGTAGAAGCCCAGCAAGTCAGGAATTTTATTTCTCTTAGTTGGCCAACAAGTTGGTTTTCCCGTTGACTGGTAGTCATACTCAATTTCACTTGCAGCTGCATGCAATTCCTTACCTTTGGTGGTTATTAATCTCGAGCCCTGGATGATATTTTTGGTATTAAATTACCCCCTAAGATAAAATTTTCTCCCATTTGTCGTAAAAGTTCTCTGTATTTTTCTTTTTTAAATTAAGTAGTGGTAAGACATATACTGCTCCGACTGCGAAACTGTATTTTGTATGTTAACTGCTGTTACCTACATTTCTTTTTTGTTCTCGTCATAATGGTTAATGTTTTCTTTTTTTATTTTGGTGCTTCCACCTCTAGCCTTATCCAACAGATGTACTCGTATAGTAATATAGACATTTTAAATTGTATATAGCTTTTTTTTGTTAAATGTGTTTCTGCTACTAGACAGATATCTATTAGGAATACCTGTAGCTCTTCTCGATGGTCAAAGAGTCCATTGGCATTAAGTCTTTACGCTCCATTAAGGATATCTAGACGTTTGAGGGAAGGTAATTTCTTCTAATCTTGTAATTGTGTCATGAATTATATTAAGCATAGTCATGATTTGGTTCGTTGAAGATTCGTTTTCAGTTTGATTAGGTCTGAGTTTGAGTATGTCAAATTTGCCATTCTTTGTGCATTATTAATGATATGACCTCTGGTTTGGGTATTATTTCTATTGTGATTAGTTTTGCTTGCCTGGTTTCTTCTGCATTGTATATTTAGTAAAATATAAATATTAAATTCGTTTTTATCGCGAAACATTTCTACAAATATACCATTTCTTTCGAATACAACAGGTTATTAGGCTTCAGTGTTGTCGGAGACTAAATTAGACGAGCAAAAAAATACTGCCATATAAAAAAGTTATAGCATTTTCTCCAATAACTCGGAAACTGTTAAAGAATTTTTTTTTTTAAATTGTTACTATTCATTATTATTAAATCTTAATTATTTCAATAGGAAGGCATCACAATTTGCCGTGACGATTTATTACACTAGCACTAATATTAACGTTCACTGCACTGGCTGAAGTGGCTTCTTCCTTTTAAGCCTTTTGTTGAATGTAGAGTTGTCCAGTAATTGCAGCGCTTCTTCGTTGATGTAGGAGTGAAGTCGACACTCATGTTTCGCAGCATACTAGTTTATTTCTTCTTTGACTGTTAGCTCTATGAATAAATTCTTTACATAGGACCAAGGTGCGTCAACGATGTATCTTTATTTTGGAATACTTGTATCATGTTGATATTACTCTTGCTGGCACATCCTCATAACTGTATGCCATAAATCCAGACTGGTTTTTGGGTTTGTTTATACACTGACAACTTTGATTTTCTTCCTAAAAGCCAATGCATCTTTTTAATTTAAGTTCAAGTTCTTAACGGTTTTTTTATTCTATTTCCTTTTAAGCCGTACATCTAGGTTCATTCCTAGATATCCATTAATATTTGTTGCCTTCTTACGGTTTTCTCTAGATTTCCTCGATTCACTTGTTTGCCTGTGATTCGTAGTTTTATTTTCTATGCTCTGCAGGGCTTTTACAGAGTTGTAACCTCTAGAATTAGTTACACAGTGTAGGTGCTGTACTTATTAGTTTTTTACAATTTTAGGTTAAGTGTTTTCCAGTGCATTTGACATATCTGGGTTATCTTTTTCAGTAGTTTTGGGTATGCCCATATTCTTGCCCATATTCGTTTGCATTGATGTAATAGATGAGGTTTTTTGTAGGCTTCTATGTGCACTCTTAAATAGAGTATTTCCTAATCACATAAGGACCGATTCCACCGTTGTGTTAAACGAAGTTTAAAATTACATTTTTACAATAACAATGTCATTTTAATCTCCGTTTAACACAACGGTGGAATCGACCCTAAATGATAACATTTTCAACTTTTTTAAAGGCTAGAGTGAATAGTGGGAGCGGTGTTTTACCTTTTCTGCTTAGTAGCTGACTTATTTCAAGTATTTTAAACCCTTTACTTTTTAAGCACTCTTTGATTTGCTCTGGTTACTGATACAATTTTTTCCAAACCAGCCTTATTGGTCTTGACTGTTTATATTCAAATAAAAATAATTCCGTTTCAGTATTGTTCAGCGCTTGTATAAGAGATCAATATGTAATTTCATCATCTACATTGATTTTCAAAAAACCTCCAGAGACCGTGCTTGCTTGATATTGTATTTTGTTTTGCATTAAGTAATCTGCCAACACTTCATATTTTTCTGGTGTGTTAATTATAACTGGAGTGGATTTATTGTTTTTAATGTGTGGTTTGTTATTTACCTTATCTGTTAGCACATCTGACAAACTACTGGCTTTACTTTTCTAGGTGTTACTCGCTCAGATCCACTCTGTTTCACTTCTCAGTTCTTCTTTATCCATGTAGTATTCTGTTAATTTTTCTTCTTTGTACTTCTTTGAATTATCTTCTAAGGTTTGAATTTTTTGTTGGATCGCTTCGATTTGTATTTGAATCTGATTGACTTTAATTTCTAATTTTTCTCTTTATTATTCTTCACAAGTCCATGCATTAATAGTGCTTCTCCCGGTGACGGTGGACTTAATTTTTGTTATTTTCTTTTTCCGATGACACATTCAAAACTATTTTTATGGGCACATTTTTATTTTATTATTTTTAAACAATAAAATTAAATGTAGTAATCATTGTTACTTTTGTAAACTGTAAACTGTTAAGGAGCAATGTTAAAACATATAACCGCACTTATTGATGGCTGAACTGTAATTATGTTCTCTTTGGTAAACATTATTTTCTACCTCTGCTGTTTTCCTTTGGATTTAATTTAATGCCTATTGCGGTATTAACGACTTGTTATTTTTCTGAGAGAAACGGTAGTTCGTATTTATGTGGCATTGACTTTGAGTATATTTCTATTTTGTTTTAACTATGTTTAGCTTGATTATAATAATATATTTATATTATATATTACTTCGTCGTGAACATTTTTTCCTCTTAATTATTTTACTTTTATGATCTCTTTAGTGGAAAGAGAATATGGTATGCCAGATGATGAAGTAATGTAACTTTGAAACCGATCGCAACATATATATGTGGCCTTTTCTATTCGTTTCTTCAACTTTATACAAATGGGTGCCCTTAATAAATATTTTTGTGAAACTACATATTCTAAAAAGTTTTAAAATGAATGTGTTAAACAAGAATGACCTATTTCTAAAATTTGGATGGATCTAGACTAGAGGATCTCACTCCAAATAAAATTTCAATGAGGTGCACTGTATTCGTTTTTTTTTTCTATCAAAGTTGCTCATACTTTGTCGATTTGTAACAGCTATAACGTTCTTGCATACTCTTTTCTATGTATTTAATGTAAGATGCACCTTTTTATTACACCCTATAATATTGTACATTTACACCTAAATATATACATACTTGAATTTTGTTTTTTTTATTTTCTTTTTATATTTATTAATTTTTTTAATGAAATAATTACTATATGTATATGATGTTGTGATATTCGACCGACAACGATCTATAATAGCTTTCTTTAATTGACAAAATTTGATATAAAATCATATTTACATAGAAAATTTTTGTCTTGAAATACCATAGAACAAAAATAGATTTATACCTAATGGATTGTAAGTTTCCTTTTCAATTGAATCTGAATTAGTATTACTGTCTCTTCTGGGGGTAGTTTTTAGAGCCCACGGTGCAGTTTGTACAGGTAGAGGAGTTGGGCCTTCTTTAACCCATGGTGGTCTGAATGTAGTTCTTTTTACCGTTCCATCACCGTTACCTCCGCCACCTTCGCTTTCTTTACCTGCTGGCATTGTCGATTAGAAATTCCTGTAATAAAAACATCTATTAATTACATCTTTTATAAAGACCATAGAGAATCACAGATCAAACCTTGGATCTTGCTTTTTTTGTCTTTGTGAATATTAAAAATAACGATATAGTATACGATATGGTATACGATATAGTATACGATATAGTATACGATATGGTATATATAGGATATAGTATACGATGAATAGTGTGAGTAGTGACATTGATATCTTCTCATGCAACCTCAGGGAAATAAAATGTCATTTCCTAACATAAAAAAAAATTGTACTGTATTGTATTTTACCTACTAGCTGTTTACTAATTTTTGTATATTTTGTACCACTTAGTCTATATAATGTATGTCTTCTTTTATTCCTGCTCTGTAATTGGGATTGCCTGTAGAGCATTGTAATAAATAAATAAATAAATATAGTATACGATATAGTACACGATATAGTAAAAATATAGTTTACGATGTAGTATACGGTAAATTATGCGATATAGTAAAATATATAGTAACGATATAGAAACGATGTTGCCAGTTGAGCCAGAAATTAAAATAAGAGAGTCGTCATTAGTTCAGTGTTCAGTTTAGTCAGACAGTATTATTCGACCATTTGAGAGTGACTAATGTATCGCAAAGAATACAAATTATAAAATAATAAAAAAACAAATACTTAATTAGTTTCTTCGTTCCTTTTGAGATACATCAATCACCCTCAAACGGTCGATTTATACTGAACTGGACACTGAAATTGAACTACTCCAAGTGGCAACTAGAAAGAATTCACGTACCAATTACTGATCTCTCATTTTAATTTATGTCGATGTTACCGATTATTTGCTGAGCTATCAAGATTTATACCATATTATTCCTTGTCCTGCACATACGAACGCCATTTAATTGTTCCCTTTAACCCAAGCAAAGCAGAACCGAAGGTTTGATCTTTTCGGCTCTGCATACCTAAGTACGGCAATTTAAAAACGTGGAATATACCTTGCAATAATTTAAACAAAGTATTATAGGAACATGCACATAACAGAAGAACGACACTTTTAGCCATCATAGACACGACTTCCAACTATGAAGATTAGAGATAAGGAGGCGAATCGGCATACTCAAAATACGGTCCCAAAAAACGCAAGCTAATTGTCCTACTACATATATCAGAAACAAATTGATGCGTGACGAACGACTTCGGTCTCTCTGTATTTACAAATCGTTCAATTTGAGGTTCAATTCTAAAGATGCGTATAGATATAACGGGCCAGGCCCGGGTCGGACCCGTGCCAACAACGGACTCCAGGTTCGTCAGATTTGTACGATGTCGTTTATCTACCGCACGATGGAAAGCAACGAGCCTACCACGGGCCGATTTAAATAGGATCGAAGTAGGTTTGTTTGCTTTCCATCGCGCGGTAGATATACGACACCCCACAAATTTGACGAACCTGGGCCCGTTGTTGGACTGGGCCCGGCCCGCACCTGGTATATCCCGCGTTTTTAAATTTCGATAACTCTATATGATTTCTGTTTATTATTTATTTATCATAATAAATCTAATGAAAATTTAGAAATAAATTTCCAAATCCCGAAAAGTGAAAACAAACCAAAGAAAAATTAAAAAATATATGTGAGCTACGTTTAAAATGTTTGAAACTTAACACATACAATGGAATGGAAGAATATTAGTGCATTCATTTGCATATTTACTTGTGATCTTCAAGTTTAAACAAATTAATTTAAACTATTTTTTGAATTACGTATTAGCATTAAAACCATTTTCAGATACCATGTGGTGTAACCGATTTGATGCAATAACTCATCTAAGATTATTCCAATTAGAAGAAATACAAGGTGACGCAAAATCAAGTACCCTATGGAATGTTGTCATGGTTTCGTTTGTAGTTGACATCTGTTCGAGTTTTTCTGTCAGTTGCAAAGTAGATACTTGGGAAATTCATTATGAATCGATATACGCCTCGTGAACGTGCCGAAATCGTAAAATTTTTTTATCAAATTAATTCGTCGATTATCAGAATTTTTCCTGGATTATCTCGAAAAAGCCGATATTGCATATCAGCCAAGATCTCCCGATTTAACTGTTCTAGACTTTTGGTTATGGGATTATCTCAAAGATAGGGTATTTGTAAATAATCCTCGAACACTAAAAGCATTAAAAGACAACATCCGGGAAGAAATTGACAGAATACCACCTGAAATGTTGTAGAAAGTTATGAAAAATGCTTTAAAAGGAGCTCATTATTTCATTAATGCTGGGGGTGGCCATTTGGTCGATATTGTTTTTAGCGTGTAACAAAACAAAGTTTTAGAGTTTAAGGAGGTCCTTTCGCCACACCTCTCGCCTCAAATGTTAAAAAAAAGTTATTAGATTATGACTAAAATTAATTTTTTTCTAATAGTTGAAGTCCTTATTTATCTAATACTGAACTTTTAACTATACCTTACCTTGTAAATTTTTGAGATTTTTTTTTTTTTAAATGTGAGTATTTGTACAGTGCCTCACGAGAAAGTAAGTCCTCAACAACAATTCTCGAATTATACTATTATTTATTGATTAGATGGACTAGAAAAAAACTAAAAATAGGGTTTTTGGAATATTTAGGTTTTGTTTTTTACAATAAAATATATAGGTTACCTTGGAATTTATTGAGAAATTAATATTAAAAAAAAAATTTGAAGTAACCTAGTTGAAAATTTTTTGTGATTTTTTAATATTAATTTCTCAATAAATTCCACGGTAACCTATATATTTTATTGTAAAAAACAAAACCTAAATATTTCAAAAACCTTATTTTTAGTTTTTTTCTACTCCATCTAATCAATAAATAATAGTAAAATTAATTATAATTCAAAAATTGTTATTGAAGTCTTACTTTCTCATAAGACACTGTACAAACACACACATTTTTAAAAAATTTTTTTCTCAAAAATTTGCACGGTAAGGTATAGTTAAAAGTTCACTATTAGATAAATAAGGACATCTACTATTAGAAAAAAATTAATTTTAGTCATAATCTAATATTTTTTATTTAACATTGGTGGCGAAAGGACCTCCTTAAATAAATATTTTTCATTTATAATTTAATTTATAATTAATCTTACTTTTAATTAAAACATAAAAAGGGGACTTTATTTTGCGCCACCTTGTATAAATACTTTGTAATACATATTATCTGGTAATAATTTTAAAAAGAATAAAAATATGATTTTATATACAGGGTATACCAGTATTGGATTGGGACCTCCAGGGGCTACTGATGATTTTTCCGTGGTTGCCACGTATTACAAGATTTTCTTGTATTTGATTTTTTATTCTTCTTAAGGGCCCACTGCTTGAACGAGGATCTACCGGTCTCTGGACTAGTTAGGCCAACGGCCCAATCTAATACTGGGGTACACCAACGATAACTTGACCCTCCAGAATTTTTAAAATATATAATATTTTATTGACAAGGGGACGTGTAATTGACATATAAACTTCATACCTAGAAATCCAATCCACTGGACCCCTTATTTTTTTAATTAGTAAGTAAGGTCAAGTAATACATTATTTGAAAGGTAATTTTTATGAAGAATTCAGCAATATGACTCTCTATTCATTGCGTCACTTTTGAATTTTGCGTCCTCTAGCGAGATAAAAAAACTGTTACTTATTGTAAAGTGCGGCACTTTATTTTACCTCTTAATGTATACATTTATTTTGATTTTTTGATCAAAAAATTATCAGATTTTTTTTTTTTAATGAAAATTAATTGTTTATACTTATTAGAACACGCTTGCATTTGAAAGCGGCATGTACGTTAAGTGGTTAAAAGCTTATTTTACTATTAATTTAATGCACACATAATTTAATGAATTATGAATTGAATAATTAAAAAATCACGCAGATCTCTTACGTTAAGAAAACTTTAATTGCAATCAAATAAGTAACAAACTTATGGTACGAATTAAACCACTAATAAAATTAGCTTTCAAATAAATAGGCCGTCAGATAGTGCCATGTTTAGGTGCTCCATTTTCGCATACAAGCCTTAAAGAGGGTTGAAAAGTACACCGATTTTAAGTAGAATGAAAGAAAATTTACGAGTGGCTGCTGAGGATAACACATGGAAAATTCGATTTTCTCTAACAAAAACGAAAGGTTATTTGTTGTCCATTTTTCCACGAAGCCGTTTCCACTATGTGATTAATTAATAGAACTAGGCTTCGGAAAACCAAAGGCTTTAATGTTGCAAGTGGCTAAAAGGTTGAATTAAGGGCGTAATTTTCCAAGAAAAAATCGAGATTTTGCCCGATTTTTTCACACAAGCCCATTGAATGTATGAAAACGTACGTCGTCACTAGTCCGAAAACCTATAACTGCATTTTGAGGTCGGAAAATTTTTCTGATAAGCAAAATAGAATTTTCCATGTGTTATTCCCAAGAACCACTTATAAATTTTCGTTTATTCTACTTAAATTCGAGGGCACTAAAATCAAAAGAAACACAATTAAGGGTCATATTGTTGAATTCTTTATAAAAGTACCTTTCAAATGATGTGTTACTTGACTATACTTGATATTTAAAAAATGAATTTTATATGACAGTTCGTCGCCATGCCAATAAAAGTTTAGGTGTTTTTTTTTATTTTGTAAAGCTCCTTTATTTCTGTGTTTCTAAGGGATCAAGTTATCGTTACACTCTATATATGGTAGTCTTATGGTAAAAAATAATAAGTAAAGTAAATGTTATAATATTTTGTAAAAGTCATTAGTTAATGATATAACATCTATTGTCGTATTGCCTTATTTTTAATTAAAAATTGGCTTATTTCAATTGAATATTTTATATCGAAAATTGTCCTAATTGTAATTAACAATTCTCTTAACTTTAACTGAAAATTACTGCATTAATTTAAATTAAAAATTATTGTTTTAATTTTAATTGAAAATCATCTTATTTTAAATTGAAAATGTTTCAAATGTGCTTAAAAAGTATTGTCTAATACTATAA